ACACACACACACACACACACACACATCCTTGACCACCGAAGGGTCAAGACGTACCTGGCGCTCCTCTCGGAGCAGCCAGGTCAACTGTTATGTTGGCCCATACCAACTCCCTCCCCTGAACCCTCCTCCCCACCGGAATATCAACAAGTTCACGCCAGAAGTTACAATTTCATTTAGGAAAGAAATGGAACCAGTGTTAAACAGAGGTGAACAGTGGTGAACAGTGCTTAAGTCAGTGAGAACAACTCAGCAGTAACAGTGGTACCCAAGTTGACCTTTCACACAGTGAGGTCCCAGGTACCCAGTGATAACGGCCCGTGAGACCCAACTACCAGCGATGTGTTAATCCGTCTACGATAGGAAGGCCTGGAACCACACCTCACTCATATAACACCATCTGTGAGGGAATTACTACACCACGTGAGGCCCCTCATAACACCATATGTGAAGGAGTTACTACACCACGTGAGGCCCCTCATAACACCATCTGTGAGGGAATTACTACACCACGTGAGGCCCCTCATAACACCATCTGTGAGGGAATTACTACACCACGTGAGGCCCCTCATAACACCATCTGTGAGGGAATTACTACACCACGTGAGGCCCCTCATAACACCATCTGTGAGGGAATTACTACACCACGTGAGGCCCCTCATAACACCATCTGTGAGGGAACTACTACACCACGTGAGGTCCCTCCTAACACCATCTGGGAGGGAGTTACTACACTACGTTTTTGCTGTTCAACACCTACATTAATCTGTATGTTCACTGTATGTTCCTTTACCTTTCTCTAATGAAGGCTTTTGTTAAACCACCAATGTATGTAATAAGTCATTTATGCCCAATGTATATTTTCAGCCTTCGGGCTGCAGAACTTTTTCAATAAACCGTTAATTATTATTATTATTATTATTATTATTACACACACACATGCGCGCGCAAAAGTTGGTGGATGCAAAAACGAATTCGTGCATCTGGTCGTGTCTGTGTCTGTTAAAACTATAATTAAAAAAATAATACATAAACTGAGCCTGAGGTGAGGAAGTGCCTCGTGCTAGACACAATACCCAGAGTTAAGTATTACCACGCGGTGTTGTTGACCAGGTGGAGGCGAGGCGGTCATTGGCCGGGGACCTGTCTTCATCTTGCTACGACCCGGTACAAAATAAACCCTCGTTATTTACAGTGTGTTTAATGGAGACGTTGTATCACCATTACTAACTTTATAATAGGAAGCTGAGCCGTGATAACCCAACTTTTGGCCTGGCATTTCATCACGGCGGTAGAGTTCTAATAAACTGTTGTGTTTCATTGAGACAGATTACCGTCTTAACAGTAATGGCGCAAGTTGGGGGAGAAGCTGGCCAGCCCGACCCAACCTGACCTGGCCAGCCCACCCAGACCTAACTTGACTTGGCCAGCCCCGATCTAACTTAACTAGGCCAACCCACCCTGACCTAACTTGACTTGGCCAGCCCGACCTAACTTGACTTGGCCAGCCCGACCCAACCTGACCTGGCCAGCCCGACCCAACCTGACCTGGCCAGCCCGACCCAACCTGACCTGGCTAGACTCGACATAACCCTGCCCGACCCAACTTGATCTGGCTAGCCCGACCAAACCTGACCTGGCCAGCCCAATCTGGCCAGCCCGGACCCACTCTGGCCCAGCAGCGCGCTACATCCTAATATCCAAACTTTGGCGGCCAAGAAGGACAAAAAACAGGTTGTAAACTTAACGTAAGATGAGGTTAGTCTGTCTAGCTATACGGTATATGTATATTCTGTACCGTCTGTCTTTCTGTCGGCCTGTCTCTGCCTCTGTTCCTTAACCTGAATCCTGTCATATTTATTACATATCTCTCTCTCTCTCTCTCTCTCTCTCTCTCTCTCTCTCTCTCTCTCTCTCTCCACGTCAAGCACCACCTCCCACCAAATTGGAGAATGATGCCAGACAACACTTGACTCCGTTTACATTATTTTACTCAAGATGTTCGTCGATGGATTATACCTCACATAATATATAAGTTAAAGAGGTATATAGCAGAAGCGGGTTTGTCTGTCCTTAAAGTGGTGGTGTTTATATACTGTACTGTTGACATGTAAAAGGTAACTGGGGTCACCTGAAGATTGTTGTCCCCCGCAGATTATTTAAAAAATTAGGTTAGTTTGAGTTAGGTTAGGTTTGGTTAGGTTTGGTTTGGTTTGGTTTGCTTAGGTTTGGTTAGGTTTGGTTAGGTTAGGTTTGGTTAGGTTTGGTTTGGTTTGGTTTGGTTTGGTTTGGTTTGGTTTGGTTAGGTTAGGTTATTTTAGGCACCGTGTTGTCTTTCTTTAAGTTGTGTAGATAAGGACGTCACTCACAAGGAGACGTAAGACTAAGGCGTTTATAACCTGTATGTGTTTACTTACCTGTGGAGGAAGGAGTGGGCGACCCATCACACGAAACATTCATAATTAATAACACACAGCTGAAGAAGGTAAGCGGTTCTATTATTGGTATAAACATCAGATATAAACAAGACTGATGTATATAGATAAATTCCCTATGAATATTCCTCACGGTGTGGTAAGCTGGTTGTTACTGTGGTGTTGTCTGTATAATATTACGTGTTAAGTCTCCATATATTCCCAACTTTCTTCATTTTACTTAAGACAGAACGTAAGATGAAGTTATTATATGAAGAAATTACACTGTGATTGTGTTTATCTCAAGCCCTGGTGACCTCCTCCCCCCCCCCCTCCTTCCGTCTCTCCACCTCCTGCTGTGGTGGAGTGTGGAAGTTATCTAATATTACCCCCGGCAGTAGTGTGTGATGGGGCGGGGGCTCACGTCTCGCCAAGTGGGGGTGTGGGGTGTCTGAAACAGGGTGTGGGGTGTCTAAAATTGGGTGTGGGGTGTCTTGAGATGAAAGTGTCTCAGATGGAGTGTGGGGGTCTCAGGTGGGATGGAGGGGTATGGGGGTGTCTTAGGTGGGGGGACGGGTGTGGGGATGTCTCAGGTGGGATGGAAGGGTGTGGGGGTGTCTTAGGTGGGGGTGTGGGGGTGGCTATAGGGTGGGGGTGCAGGGTGCTGGGGGTGGTGGAGGAGGTGGGGATGACAGGCCAGTGCCTTATCGCATATACGTTTGCCATATACTGACGTTATTTGTTTTGTATAGCAAGTCCCTATTAGGCTTTATCTTGCCGGAAATTGCTTAAAACTGGAACGTATGAAACATTTATAAAGGTAGACATAATGGAATTTTGAGGTATAGCATGAGAAGTGTGTCGCTGTTGTGTCGCACCTGTCGTTGAAGATGTGTCGCTGTTGTGTCGCACCTGTTGTTGAAGATGTGTTGCTGTTGTGCCAAACCTGACGTTAAAGATGTGTCGTTGTTGTGTCAAACCTGTCGTTGAAGATGTGTCGTTGTTGTGTGGCACCTGTTGTTGAAGATGTGTCGCTGTTGTGTCAAACCTGTCGTTAAACATGTGTCGCTATTGTGCCGCACCTGTCGTTGAAGATGTGTCTGTGTTGTGTCAAACCTGTATTTGAAGATGTGTCGCTGTTGTGCCGCACCTGTCGTTGAAGATGTGTCTGTGTTGTGTCAGACCTGTCGTTGAAGATGTGTCGTACCTGTCGTTAAAGATATGTCGTACCTGTCTCGGGACTCTCACCTGTTTGAGATGATTTACTGTTGTGATATTTGTACTGTTGTCGCCCGGTGTCTCGACTGTCGAAGGAGATGCATTGTTAGTGTGTTCAAAGCTTCCCTCGGAAATGTATTGTTGGCACGAATCGCTGACGTAAATTGGTGGCAGCTGTCCTTGTGAGTGCATTGGTGGCAGCTGTGTTTGTGAGTACATTGGTGGCAGCTGTCCTTGTGAGTGCATTGGTGGCAGCTGTCCTTGTGAGTGCATTGGTGGCAGCTGTCCTTGTGAATGTGTGTGGCAGCTGTCCTTGTGAGTTCATTGGTGGCAGTTGTATTTGTGAGTGCATTGGTGGCAGCTGTCCTTGTGAGTGCATTGGTGGCAGCTGTGTTTGTGAGTTCATTGGTGACAATTGTATTTGTGAGTTCATTGGTGACAGTTGTATTTGTGAGTTCATTGGTGACAGTTGTGTTTGTGAGTACATTGGTGGCAGCTGTCCTTGTGAGTGCATTGGTGGCAGCTGTGTTTGGAGTACATTGGTGTGGCTGTCCTTGTGGAGTACATTGGTGGCAGCTGTCCTTGTGGTCATTGGTGGAGCTGTCCTTGTGAGTGCATTGGTGGCAGCTGTCCTTGTGGGTGCATTGGTGGCAGTTGTTTTGTGAGTGCATTGGTGGCAGCTGTCCTTGTGGAGTGCATTGGTGACAGCTGTCCTTGTGGAGTACATTGGTGGCAGCTGTCTTTGTGAGGTACATTGGTGGCTGTCTTTGTGAGAGTACATTGGTGGCAGCTGTTTTGTGAGTACATTGGTGGCAGTTGTTTTGTGAGTTCATTGGTGGCAGTTGTCTTTGTGGAGTTCATTGGTGGCAGCTGTTTTGTGAGTACATTGGTGGCAGTTGTTTTAGTGCATTGGTGGCAGCTGTCCTTGTGAGTGCATGGTGACAGCTGTCCTTGTGAGTACATTGGTGGCAGCTGTCTTTGTGTAATTACATTGGTGGCAGGGTTTTGTGAGTACATTGGTGGCAGTTGTCCTTGTAGAGTACATTGGTGGCAGCTGTCTTTGTGGAATTATATTGGTGGTTGGTGGTGTTTGTGAGTATATTGGTGGCAGCTGTCATGATAGATACGTACAGAGAGAGGGGGGGGGGGGAGAGAGCCAAGCCAAGCCAAGCAGAGCCAGGCGGGAGAGCTGAGGTAGGAATTATTAACTGCCATTAATAAGGGTGCGCTCAAGTGCCAGAGAAGCCAAAGTCTAAGTGGCAGCTTAAGTGGGAGTTCAGAGGTCGAGGGGACGTGTGTGTGGGAGGTCTAGGATTAAGACTTTCATCCCTTGAGTGTAGATGGACAGACAGCTAGATTGATAGATAGACAGGTAGATAGATATATAGAGAGAGTGATAGATAGAGACATACTGATAGACAGACAGACAGGTAAGACGATACCTATAGATGGATCCTCTCAGTTAATGAACATAAGATTAATTAAGAATATGATGCCAGGTGTTGAGAGCTCCCATGTCTATTGTCAATAATGTAAGAGTGAGTTTTTGTACCTCATTGATTCAAAACGTCATTTAGTCCTTTTGTGTATCCGTCCGTCCGTTTTTCCGTCAGTCCCGTTCGTTTTTTCTGTCCATTCGTCTGTTTTTACGTCCGTTCGTCTGTCCGCCCGGCTTTCCGTCTGTCTGTCCGTTTATAATATACTGTAGTTAAAATAGAAATATTAGATCAATGTTTCCAGCACTGAACAGTCATCAGTGGTCTTGAGAGAGAGAAGCCCAGTAGTGTAGGAGAAAGTCAACTAATGTGGGCTTTAAGTTACCATACCAGCACACACACACACACACACACACACACACTCATGTCTTCACGTGTCTGTTCCCATACGTCACCTCACAGGACTATGGCGCTGTGTGGACTCAGGATGCATCAGGAGGTAGAGTGGCTTTGGAAATCAGAGTATATGCAACGACAGACAAGCAGAGGACGGCAGTGGCTCAAGGGAGTAGAGTAGCCAAGGGCAGTCCAAGGAGTAGTCTAGCCTGTCTGGAGCGAGTATAAGTATTCACCTGCAGTAAATCCAAACCCCACTAGTGCCCCGTGTTGCTTGTGGTTAGGTTAGGTTAGGTTGGGTTGGGTTAGGTTAGGTTAGGTTGGGTTGGGTTGGGTTGGGTTGGGTTGGGTAAGAGTAAGAATATTCACTTTTATTTTTTCTCCTTTGATGAGTAATGTTAATTGCCGTAGTTATCAGTTACTGTAATAAGTTGCTTTTAACCCGTCTATATGTTTTCACGTCATAAGGAATATATCTCTGGTTTTAATATTGTTTTGACAACTTGATCCCCGGCTCAACCTCGCTACCAACTTCATAACTTTGCCATCCCTTCAGTTAATTCTCTTAATATCTCCATGATCATAAATCTTTCCATTACACATTCGTCCGTCGGCTCTTCCGTCCGTCCATTCTACCGTCCGTTCGTTCTTCCGTCCGTCAGTTTTTTACATCTGCCCTAGCCCATTTGTTTTACTGTCTCACACACACACACACACACACACACACACACACACACATATATATATATATATATATATATATATATATATATATATATATATATATATATATATATATATATATATATATATATATATATATATATATATATATATATATATATATATAATTTTTGTTTTTTAATATATATATATATATATATATATATATATATATATATATTTATTATCATTATTATTATTGTTCAAATTGTTAACTGAGTTAATATTATAATTATTATCTCAACCACTATTTCCTTACTCTTTACCTTCCTCTATTAACTTGTTTTATATATATATTACCCCCATGGTAAGGCCCCAGGACGCCAGTAATAGTACAGTTGGTATTCAGTGTCCGGGAAGGTTATCTGTTGGGGCAGAACGTGCTATCCCGTGCCCCTGCCTTATGAATACCGCAGGCAAGCACACACCAGCCCCGGGTTATAAGTGGATCCCTGGCACGTGTACTTGTTTATAAGTGGATCCCTGGCACGTGTACTTGTTTATAAGTGGATCCCTGGCACGTGTACTTGTTTATAAATGGATCCCTGGCACGTGTACTTGTTTATAAGTGGATCCCTGGCACGTGTACTTGTTTATAAGTGGATCCCTGGCACGTGTACTTGTGTATAAATGGATCCCTGGCACGTGTACTTGTTTATAAGTGGATCCCTGGCACGTGTACTTGTTTATAAGTGGATCCCTGGCACGTGTACTTGTTTATAAATGGATCCCTGGCACGTGTACTTGTTTATAAATGGATCCTGGCACGTGTACTTGTTTATAAATGGATCCCTGGCACGTGTACCTGTTTATAAGTGGATCCTGGCACGTGTACTTGTTTATAAGTGGATCCCTGGCACGGTATCTTGTTTATAAGTGGATCCCTGGCACGTGTACTTGTTTATAAATGGATCCCTGGCACGTGTACTAGTTTATAAGTGGATCCTGGCACGTGTACTAGTTTATAAGTGGATCCCTGGCACGTGTACTTGTTTATAAGTGGATCCCTGGCACGTGTACTTGTTTATAAGTGGATCCTGGCACGTGTACTTGTTTATAAGTGGATCCCTGGCACGTGTCTTGTTTATAAGTGGATCCCTGGCACGTGTACTTGTTCATAAGTGGATCCCTGGCACGTGTACTTGTTTATAAGTGGTTCCTGGCACGTGTGCTTGTTTATAAGTTGATCCCTGGCGTGTACTTGTTTATAAGTGGATCCCTGGCACGTGTACTTGTTTATAAGTGGATCCCTGGCACGTGTACTTGTTTATAAGTGGATCCCTGGCACGTGTACTTGTTTATAAGTGGATCCCTGGCACGTGTACTAGTTATAAGTGGATCTGGCGTGTACTTGTTTATAAGTGGATCCTGGCACGTGTACTTGTTTATAAGTGGATCCCTGGCACGTGTACTTGTTTATAAATGGATCCCTGGCACGTGTACTTGTTTATATAGGTGGATCCCTGGCACGTGTACTTGTTTATAAATGGATCCCTGGCACGTGTACTTGTTTATAAATGGATCCCTGGCACGTGTACTTGTTTATAAGTGGATCCCTGGCACGTGTACTTGTTTATAAATGGATCCCTGGCACGTGTACTTGTTTATACGTGGATCCCTGGCACGTGTACTTGTTTATAAGTGGATCCCTGGCACGTGTGCTTGTTTATAAATGGATCCCTGGCACGTGTACTTGTTTATAAATGGATCCCTGGCACGTGTACTTGTTTATACGTGGATCCCTGGCACGTGTATTTATGATCAAAATGGCCTGGCTGTGATCAAAATGGCCTGGCTGTGATCAATATGGCCTGGCTGTGATCAAAATGGCCTGGCTGGGATCAAAATGGTCAGCCATTCTCTCAGTCATTCCCTTAGTCAGTTATTTCTAATCCGTTTTCTTATTCGGGTATCTCCAGTTATCTCCCAGCCATTTATCTCCCAGTCATTCTCAGCCATATCTCTCAGCTCGAGATATCTCAGCCATTCTCTCTCACAGTTTTCTCTCCACTATTTATCTCCCAGCACCACAGTCTCCCAGCATCAAGCCACCACCACAGCTCTGAGATCTTATCGTCTCTTAATTAAATGTGAGATAGGAATCACAGGAAGAGCACCTCCCTCCCCTCTCTCCATCCCCTCTCAAAAAAATGCTGAGAGGTGATTGTTCATGAGCTAATGGTTAGGTTAGGTTAGGTTAGGTTAGGTTAGGTTAGGTTAGGTTGTATGAGATTAGTGTTGAAGTCATTTGGTTGTTTGATCGTTATGTGTCGTGGTTAATGATTGCTGTTATTCGTGATTGGTTGGGCTCATTAAAGAGTTTGGTGGTGTTGTGATTTGGTTGGTTGGTTGATTGGTTGGTTGGTTGATAATGGTTATTTTGTTTGTGGTTGGGCTTTTGGGAGTTTTGTGTTGTGATTGGTTGGTTAGTTGCAGCTGTTGGCTGTTGGTTTAGTTGTTGGATTGTGGTGATGGCTCTCTCTCTCTCTCTCTCTCTCTCTCTTGTCAGGTAATATTACATTGCTAGTGGGAGCAGGTCTTCCCTGATTGGATAATTTGATTTAATTTTATTGTCTCAACGTGACACTTTGCTACGGTATGCGTGTGTGTGTGTGTGTGTGTGTGTGTGTGTGTGTGTGTGTGTGTGTGTGTGTGTGTGTGTGTGTGTGTGTGTGTGTAGAGACAAGTCCCCGTCTTTAAATTCAGTTTATGACGTAATTTGGTCGAAACCTTGATGTGACCTGTGTGACCTTGTATGACGTCTTCAGTGACCTGGGTAGAGTGAAAGTAAGGACAAGTCTCTAAACGCTATTTGCCTTTTACTAAGCATTAGTTGATATGCGATTCGTTAGCCAGTGTAGTTGGTGAGTTGTCCCGATCTTCCTGGGATCCTCGTTAAAGTAGGGTTTTGGTTGTGCCTTGGTAACATCGTCTGCATATTAAAATATTCATGACCAGGTGAGCTGATTGACCGCCATAGAGCAATCGCAGTTCGCCGCCGACTGCACCGTCCACCATTCATTGCACCGCCCACCACACAATGCACCGCCCACCACACAATGCACCGCCCACCACACTGTACCGCCCACCACACACTGCGCCGCCCACCACACACTGCGCCGCCCACCACACCTGCGCCACCCACCACCCACTGCATCGCCCACCACCCATT